ATAAAGGAATTTTATAATGATAAATTGAACAAAAAGTAACGCCGTCAGGGGGATTTGTAACGGCGTTAACGTAGCAGGGAGAGTGTGCATGCAAAAGTATATTACAAGGGAGTATGGCGCAATTTTTAAAATACAAGGGGAAAACGCGCAGATTTAGTATATTACAGGGGGGTTTGGTGCAATTTACCCTATAAATATATGGAAAAGAAAAAGTTGGACCATTTACGAAATAATTAAAGAAAAGTTGGACCATTGAAAACAATAAAGTTTATAGAAACAAATAAAATGCATGGCTGTCATTTAAAAATAATGTCACGTTTGTATAGAGAAACAAATTGGATATGGATGGAGGGACCATTAATAAAAAATCTGAAAAGAAGTTGGACCAGTTATGGAGTATATTGATATTTGTTCAATCAGATCATGGACCAATCAATCCTTAACGAGCCGAGCTCGAGCTCGATTTCAGACTCGTTTACTTAATAGTCGAGCTCGACTCGGCTGTTTACAGCTCTATTTCTGCCACACAAATAATGGAAGGAGATAAGAGTTTGAAAAGGAAGAATAAGAACCATTAATAAATAAACAAGCTGATATGGCCCATATGAAAATACAGTTAATAAAAAAATTGAAAAGAAGTTGGACTAGTTAGTAAATAAATTAAAGACACGTTTTTTATTCACATAATAAAGTTTTGATGAAACATTAAAAAAAGGAAAAATTCCTTCTCAAACAAAAGAGACTGTGCGTACACATGTATATTATGTCAAACCTTATATCAACCCAGTATGCTACTGTAGTATTACCCTGAAAAAAAAAAATTAAATTTCAAAAATTGGTTTTGTACCAACTTAATGGCTCCACTTTTAGTTAGTGGAAGACTTAAAAAATTATCAAAATTATTTTAAGGTGAATGAGAAATTAATTCTAAGTGTTATATATTGAACAATTGAATGTAAGTAATTCAAATGTTGTAAGGTTCACAAAATATTAAAGTTTGACTAATATTTGGACAAACTAAAAGAGTCATAATCTTGCATTAAGTATGCTAGAATTGTGGAAGGGCTCGTTGGGGACAAGTAGGAAAAAACGGAACTAAATTTCGAGTCTGAACGAACGCGTACGAGCTTTCGGAGCGCAGCAGCGCGCCATTTCCCGTCGCGGGCGTGACGACCGTCACGGGCGCGGCACTCTATACACAAGACCCGTCGCGGGCGCGCAATCAGGCGCGGGCGCGAAAGTCTACTTGGTCGGAGCTTCTGTCCAACGTGACAGGGCATCGCGGGCGCGACGAGCTCGCGACACTGACGCACCTTTTCGTATTGAAATGGTTTCTAATCGGTTTTAATCCACCGGGTACGTCCCAAAAGGTGTCTTTTGATGTCTTGAACCCCCTGGAGATGTGTTATAACATCTATAAATACACATGAAGTGAAATGGTCATTACAATGAAATATTTTCATAACCTTTGCATCATTTTACAAAGTTCATATTCATATTGTGTTCTTTGTTTTTTCTTTTCTATCTTGAGAGTTCAAAACATAAGTATTGTTCGCAAAAGGTTTGTGTATTTGAGTTATCACTATACACAAATCGAAAGTCGTTGTATCTTGGAGGCGTTAGCGTGAACCGTGGGTAATATACGGGGCTATTTCGTCTTAAGGAGAGCGTATCTTACGTGCCTCGACTTTGTTCGTTTAACCAATATTCCTTCTATTCCTAAAGCCATTTTTTTTTGAAATTCACATATCGCACAATTGAATTTAAGTAATTCAAATGTTGTAAGGTTCACAAAAACATTAAAGTTTGACTAATATTGGACAAACTAAACGAGTCATAATCTTGCATTAAGTATGCTAGAATTGTGGAAGGGCTCGTTGGGGACAAGTACGAAAAAACGGAACTAAATTCCGAGTTCGACGAACGCGTACGAGCTTTCGGAGCGCAGCTGCGTGCCAAGCCCCGTCGCGGGCGTGACGACCGTCATGGGCGCGACCCTCTGTACACAAGACTCGTCGCGGGCGCGCGATCAGGCGCGGCGCGAAAGTCTACGTGGTCGGAGCTTCTGTCCAACGCGACAGGGCGTCGCGGGCGCGACGAGCTCGCGACACTGACGCACCTGTTCGTATTGGAATGGTTTCTAACCGGTTTTAATCCATCGGGTACGTCCCAAAAGGTGTCTTTTGATGCCTTGAACCTCCTGGAGATGTGTTATAACATCTATAAATACCCATGAAGTGAAATGGTCATTAAAATGAAATATTTTCATAATCTGCATCATTTTACAAAGTTCATATTCATATTGTGTTTTTTGCTTTTTCTTTTCTATCTTGAGAGTTCAAAACATAAGTATTGTTCGCCGAAGGTTTGTGTATTTGAGTTACAACTATACATAAATCGAAAGTCGTTGTATGTTGGAGGCATTAGCCGTGAACCGTGAGTAATATACGGGGCTATTTCGTCTTAAGGAGAGCGTATCTTACGTGCCTCGACTTTGTTTGTTTAACCAATATTCATTCTATTTCTATTTTTCTTGAAATTCACATACCAGAAATTTTAATATACACACTTTTTAGTTGAAAAAATGCTCGCCCTTTGCAATAATAGTAATAATAAAAATAAAATAATAATAATGATAATTGCATTCAACCTGCATCCATACATAGATAGATAATTACATCTCCGTAACCTTCTATATAAATGCATCTGCTTTGAGTTGATCATAAGAGATTTATACACACACCAGAAAAATTAACCCAAAAGAGAGATCAAAAAATAAAATTTTTTTAAAAAAAACAAGAAAAAAATGTCATCCGGGTTGATTGTGAACGCGGTTTTCCTCCAAGACGAGAAGCTCCGCCGGCTGGCGCAGCTCATCCGCAACCACGAAGTCAACAACATGTTCTACATCACCTTCGCCAGCGTCGGCGAACAGCTCCAATACCTCCGAATGGTCAACGACAACTTGGCATCCGTCCACACGATCCTCGACGATGCCAATGCCGTTGTCCACCGCCACCGTGGCGACCCCGTGCGCAGCCACGTCGCCGGCCTCGTCCACGCCTACGTGGAGCATTCCCTTAACAATGCCCTCCAGCTCATCCCAAACTACACCGTCAGACGAGACTATCTCGACAAGATGATCGAGCACCACGAGGCTGTGTACGAGGCCCTCGAGACTCTCAACACCTCCAACCTGGACGCGGTCGATGAACTCACCGAGACCATTCGCGAGCTCGACCGGATATTGATCAGTTACATGAGGCTCACCCTCAACTCCTATGCCTCGGCCTAATTCTCCCAGTACCTTAGGAACCTCGGCATCAGCTTCGAAGAACTCGTTAGCGGGTAATGTATATAACCTATATTATTTTCTTTTATTTCTTTTATTGGTAAAATGCAACATGAACGTCATTAACATTCATAATTTTGCAATTTTCAGGTTGCATTTTAGAAAGAAAAATGCAAACTTTAACGGCTTAATAAAAATTTATATTAGTTAATTGCGCAGTCAGTAAATTATAAATATTTAATTTATTGTGAAATAATTAATCCAGATTGCATTTTTACTGAGAAAAGACTAAACTATAAAATTAATCGTGCGCAGTCAGCAGAGGGTTCTCGGCTACCGGGGAAGGTTCGAGGATTTGGAGATCGAGCAGAAGCTGGACGTGTACGCAGCCATACTCGAACGGTCCGGCAGAATGAGAATCCTTTCCGGCCAGTCGGAGGAGCTGGCAGATTTCTCCGAAGAGGATCTGAAGTGCCCCGGCGGCCAGTGGGACTTAAACACCGCCGTGAAGCCCTCCGTCGAACTTTACTCCTCGAGAAGAAGGCTGAGACTAAAATCGGCAGCCATGTTCTTCAAGGACATGTGTACCATTATTTGGGACATCTACTCGTCAGACCACACGATTCAAACGGTCACGAGGGACGCCTTGGTTACTGCGGCGGAGAAGGGAGGAGCGGCGCTCGGGAAGCTGGTGGCGGTGGCGATTGCCACCAGGTTGACCGGCCAAGCGGCCACGACCCTTTTCATAACGGCGGTCGGGCTTGTCGGGGGTTTCGTGGGGGCTTTTATACTCGGAGCCGTCGCCGGTTTATTGTTCGACCTTATATTTAGCAGCGGCGGGCAGGCGCCGTTGCCGACCGACGGGTTTATTGTGTACGTGGCGCCAATGCCCGACGGTCGCCGGCTCGCCAGGCAGATTGCTTGAAGTTGGTTGGTTGATTTCAACGTGCGTGAGTGGCGGCGCCGGTTGAAGAATTGCAATGTTAGTCCACCGGCTTTGGTTGTTTCTCGTTTTCGTCTAATAACAGCTCCGATTTGGTTGGAAGCTTACAACAGTAATAATGGCGGATATATATATGTTGAAGGGAGAAGAATAATCCGCGGTCATTGTGAAATTACAAATATGCTCCTAAATTAAGTTTGTTTTTTGTAAGTGAATAAGTGGGCTGCATTTCGGCCCATCCCTGATTTATTAGGCCTGCTTTTTTATCTCAGGGATCCATATAATTGGGCTTATCCAATATATGGTTCGTATTGAATCCGACTTTATATGTTTTTCGCTGTTTTTGCTGTCAATAATAATTCGACCATAATTTTTGTCAAATTCTCGTTATATATAATTCCATAATGCGTTGAATTTAAGTGGCAAACTCTCACAATTCAGAATTCTGTTTGACAAAAAAATCATATTTCGGGGTTAGACTTGGATGTAAATGTCGTTGCAAAAATATAACGCAATGTCGCATACAATAGCGTGAACTAATGCAAAATAGAATAAAAAAAATGTGTCATTTCAATATTTTGCGTAAGCTTTTCGAGAAAATGCTAAATATATAACTCTACGTCGCGCTTTTTTGGAAAAAAAAAAGTTACATAGCGAACGATTTAAAACAATGAATATAAGTAAAAGAAAATAACATGAGTTGACATTTTCATTTAATATACGGATGTTTAATTATTATGATTAAAAATAAAAATTTTGACAATTTGATTAAACCCAAAGTAATGGTTTATATAAAATTAAATTATTTTAGTAAAAAAAATTAATACTATTTACATTTGCTTCCTAATTAAACACACATGTAATACACGAATATGATACTAATTTTAAAACACGTTGTTGTAGCTTCCAAAAATAAATAAACATATATATTAAAATTCGAGCAACCATATCGAAATAACAAACAAAAATATTAAGAAATAAAATGAAGAGATGAAAAATATATTAATACGAAATAATATTATTATAAGAAATAAAATCAAGCGATGAAAATCAAGAGACTGTTCCACTGAGTTCGACGCAAAATAAATTTTTTAAACTGCACCGATTATTAAACATGTAGAGTTATTATTGAATGATTCAGCTGTTGGATACGTCGTAAAACCGATTAAACTAATATTTATATGTATCTTTAAATTAATTGATAAAAAATTTATAAATCTCTACTTATTTAAATATGTAATTTTATTTAAAATAATTTTAAATATAACAAAATTTATTTAGAAAATCGTATTGATTCTACTAGTTCAACCGACTGGTGTTGACGGATTCAATAGAAAATATTTTATTTAAGTGGCTTAGATTGATTATAAACTGGTTCTCGGTCTATCCAGTCGGACTGTGTCCAACACTGTTTCATTTAAAAACGATGAACAAATCTTGATTAATTTATTTGTATATTTAATTTATAGCACAATTATAATATTGTTTTCCCATGCATCGCACGTTCTACGCACTAGTTTATGTGGAAAACATCGTTAATTAAACATATATATGTAAGTATCTTAATTAGTTGACATAATAATTTATACATATATAAAATATTGAAATATGTATTTTTATTAAATTTATTATAATTAAAAATATTAAAACTATATACAAAAAGTAATATAACTACGTATTACAAACAAAAGTAGAAAAAATATATACGTATATGTAAAACCTTCAGTCATAAATTTCATTGTACTACTTATCTTTCCATTATTAGTCACATAATTTTGTTTTTATTTATTTTTTGCTAGCAGATATGCTAATATTAAAATTTTTAATTTGAAATTAAGAAACACATTTTTAGGTAAATTAGAAAACGAGAACTCTTATCTTATTTATATAATACATACTATAAAATTATACTGATCAGCAAAAAGATCATAGATTCCAAAATTTCTTCAAATTTATTTTATATTATATAATTTTTTTTGTAAATATTAATTAATTTCTTTGAAAATTACTCAATTATCACTGTTCTATTTTTTTCCACCCAAAAAAAAAAAAAAAAAAATTAGCCTTGGCGGCTCTTAAAAACGCACGCACTCATGAACTGAATTATAAATTTTCATTCATTTTATCTGTAAAAACGATGCTTCAGAAATCTGGATTCGGCTGACTACAGAAGATTAAAGAGTGAAGATTCACTGCAATTTATTGGTCGGTAAAATCTCTTCTTCCCAATTGCAAAATATTGACGATTAGCTCGTCTCACGCGTGTTCTTGCTGTCTCAAATTTTCGTCTGCTTAATATTATTGATGTTTCGAATCACGGTAATGTGACCAATTTATCGTTTTACAGGTACCCTTTTGTCCAATTTTCTTCTTATTTGTGGAATTAAAGCTCGTTGTGAGCTTAGACGTGGTGATTGCATCTGATGTGTACTGTTTGTTGGCTGTTTCATATTTTTGTGTCATTTTAATATTAAACGAATCTTGACCAGTTTCATTACTATGGCGCCC